GAAGCAAGATTGGTAATTTTTTTTTTCTTCAGGAAAACACTTTATACTTTAAAACATGTTTCAGATGTCCATAAGACACCATTGCATCCGTTACAACACAACTTGGGAATGCAGAATCCCAGGAAATCCTATTTATACATGAAATAGAATTTTTTGCTAGATTATGGGCTAATACATTCCATGTTTGAGGAATATATATAATCTCGATTTCTTCAAAAGACTTCATCAATCGCCAGACATCCTTGCAAATGGTCTCTATTTCCCAAGATGTTATCAAATTCTTTTGCAACATTTGTATGACATTCTTTGCATCTGACAGTATGTGAACCTTTGACCAACCCTTTTGTAGTGCTCTTTGCACAACTTCCCGAATTGCTAGTGCTTCAGCAGTTATGGCCTTCCCTACAAATTGAATAGGGGTACCAAAGGCATGAAGCAAATGACCACAACTATCTATAGCCGCCATTCCGATGCTTTCTTTTCCCTTCTCCCTTTGTAGACCTGCATCTGTGAAAACAACAATCCCATCTCGGGCCAAAGTAATGGTTACATCATAACTCTTGTTTGGTATAGTATTCACAACTGCCGAATTTTTCACAATATCGTCATATTCACATGTAAATCAAATAAAGCCTTATTAACTACGTCCTTAGGTTCATATGTACTACCATTAAAGCATAATGAATTTCTCGCTTTCCACATTTACCATAAAAGAGAGACACTTAATCTTAGTAGTTCAATGGATTCTGGATATTGACATGTATTACAAAATAAGTCATTCCACCATATTGCAAAATTCATAACATTTTCTACATTAGGCCAGTTAATAGGGGCCAACTTCCATACTAGTTGTGCTTTTGGGCAACTGAAAAACATATGATCAACCGTTTCAGTTTCTAAGCCACAGACCCTACAAACATCACAATTTTGGTGCAATCTCTTAGAAATATTTGCACTAACAGGAAGGACATTAAAAATGCATTTTCTAAGGAAATGTTTGTATTTGTTTTTAATTTTAAATGACCATAAGAAAGTCCAAAAAGATTTTGGGAAAGATTGACCACTGGCTTGAGGTTTTTCAGTTCTAGGGTCAGTACTATTAGCTAGGCTTTTCGCTAGATGATAGCCAGATCTTACCTCGTTCTTTCCAGAATTTGTATAATGCCAGATAACTTTATTAGAATTTCCAGTGCTAAATATTGGGATAGACAAAATAGAGTTGATATCATTAGGGCAAAAATGGTGATGAAGGATCTTGGATATTCCATATATGATGGTGTTGATCTATAAGGTCGCTTACCCTCAATTGTGGATTTATTTGTGTATGTCCTTGTAGGGGTTTGAAACCGGTCGAATTAGGAATCCAAGGATCACTCCAAACCTTAATGTTTTCTCCATCTCCTGCTCTCCATCGAATTCCTTGTTGCAGCAAATCTCGTCCCCACATAATACTTTTCCAAATCCAAGAACTTGCTGAGGGACATCCTGCACTTAGGAAAGAGGTATTCGGAAAATATTTACTTTTAAGCATCCTATGAAGCAAAGAATCCTCTTGGGTTAAAATCCTCCACACAAGTTTTGCCAATAGGGCTTTGTTAAAAAGTTTCAGATCTCGAAAACCAAGACCCCCTTGGGACTTTGCCTCACAAAGTTTCTGCCATTTTTCGTAGTGCATTTTCCTTTTCCCCTCATTTTCCCCCCACCAAAAGTCAGAGAAAATGGCAGTAATCTCCTTTCCTAAGTTATCTGGAAATTGAAAACATGATAATGCATATGAAAGGAATAGAAGAAAGTACTGACTTAAGCATGACTTCTTTGCCTGCAGGGCTTAAAAAACTACTCTTCCAACCCTTTTATCTTAGTTTTAACTCGTTCTTTGATAAACTCAAGCATTTTCTTCTTTGATCTTCCAACTACCGCAGGTAATCCTAGTATAAAGTCCCAAATTATCTCTATGTATTTGTCCTATCTCCGCTATTAATATTATCTTTTTCTTCCTCGGTAGTATTTTTGCTAAAATATATTGCTGATTTTTCAAAATTAACTTTCTGGCCTGAGCAAAGTTCATAAGTTCTTAGAATTTCAGAAATTTTTACCACACTTTGAGTATTAGCTTAACAAAATAAAAAGGAGTCATCAGCAAAGAAAAGATGATTTACCGTAGGACCGCCCCTTCTTAGGCTTATTCCACGTAGTTCTCCTTGCTCCTTAGCTTGGTTCAAAAGCCTGGAAAGTCCTTCAGCACATAATATGAACAAATATGGGAATAAAGGGTCACCTTGTCTTAGTCCTCTACTAGGTCGTACAGCCCCAACAATTTCACCATTTATATTAAACTTGTAAGTAGGTGTCGTGATACATTGCATAATCCAGCTAATGAAAGTGTCATGGAAACCCATTTTCAAAAGTAAAGATTGGACATATATCCATTCCACTCTATCGTAAGCCTTTGCCATGTCTAATTTTAAGGCCATAAATTTATCGTTCCCTCTCCTCTTATTTTTCAACACATGTATACACTCATGAGCCAACACAACATTATCAACAATGTGTCTACTTCCTACAAAGGCAAATTGATTATGAGATATTATATTAGGCAAATACTTTTTTAATCTTGCTCCGATAATCTTAGTTATAATTTTATATATGGTAGAGCACAGGCTAATAGGTCTAAATTGACTAATAACACTAGGATTCTTTACTTTTGGGATTAAAGTAATTAGAGTTTGATTCCAAGAGGGTAAGAGATATCCTGAAAGAAAGAAACTTTTAACAGCAGCTATAATATCTGTAGATAAAACATTCCAATAATTCTGAAAGAAAAAAGGGGTCATTCCATCTATCCCTGGTGCCTTTAAAGGATGCATCTCAAAAACCGCATGTTTCACTTCCTCATCTGTCACTTCTCTAATAAGACTTTGGTTGATGGGATCATCAACTAATCTCGGGATTTAGTTCAAAATGGGATCAAGATTTATTGGTCTAGAGGTAGTAAATAAATTTTCATAATAATTTTCCACTTCTCTAATAATATCACCTTGTTCTGATACCCAATTTCCATTAGCTAGGCAAAAACCTTTGATGCTATTGCATTTTCGTCGCTGAATAGTTTTCATGTGAAAAAAGGAGGTATTTTTATCCCCCTCTTGCAACCATAAAGCTCTAGATATTTGTTTTCAGTATGCTTCTTCTTTGTAAGCTTTACCTAATTCTTTTCTCAAAAGTCGAAGTTTAGGGAGGTCAAAGTGATCAGGATCATTCTTAAGCTTATCAATTTGACTTTTGATCCCAATTATTCTTTGTTTTGAGTTCCCTTTACCCCTTCTCAGCCAAGACATTAATGAGGCACGACATTTTTTTAGTTTGAAGCTTACTTTGGATTGTTCAAAGCCATCTACCTGTTCTTGCCAAGACCTTGTCACTAAATTATTCACTGCATCCTTTTCACTCCATCTTTTATCAAAATAGAAGCGTCGCTTTTTTCTTATAGGCTTAGGGTCGGTATTTAGTAAAAGAGCAGAGTGATCTGAAGCCTCAGTATTCAAATGAATTATTTGGGCCAAATGGAATTCTAAACGCCATCCGGGAGATACAATGGCTCTATCTAATCTCTCTTGAATAATTCCATCATTCTCCCTGAAACACCACCAAGTCCAAGGCTTCCCTTTAAATCCTAAATCGACTGCCCCCAAGTTCCACAAGAAATTCTTAAAGTCTTTAAAAGAAGCTACTTCTCTACTTCTACCTCCTACCTCCTACCTTTTCCGAGTTGTCCATAATATCATTAAAATCTCCAACAATGATTCAGAGAGGACCCCAATTAGCCGATTTTAACGTTAGTTCTGTTAGTTGTGCTCTACGAATAGCTCTATCAGTGCTCAAATACACAAAGATGCACCAATATTTAGAATCAGTTGAGAGGTCATGCACCAAAGTTTCAATATAAAATTGCAAAGTGTGAGGTTGACAAACCTGAACTTTATCATTCCAAAATAAGCTCAAGCCTCCAGATAAACCAACAGGGTCCACAATTGTAGCATAAGGCATATTAAGTTGCCTCTGAACTCGCTTAACAATAATATCCTTATTTTTGGTTTCACTAAGAAAAATTATATCTGGGGAGTGGAGATGCATAGTCTCCTTCAAAAAAGGAACTGTCAAGGACCCCCCCCTCCCCAGGCCTCGACAATTCCATACCATAGCCCTCATTGTGGAGAGGGAAGCCATTTGGGGCTGGCCTCCCACTCCACCACAATTTTATTCTTTTTTGTTTGTATACCGGAAGGTAACTCAGTATCACCTTTTCGTTTCTCCCTTATAAATTGCATACATTCTGCTAAAACAACACCCTCATCCAACGTTGCATTAGAAGTATCATTCTTCAACGTAACAGAACATCCAACTTGTCTGGCCATTCATTTCCAATTTCTCGTTTTCCTCCCCTCATTGTTATTATCTTTCATTTGTTTAGATAGATTATTTTGTTCTGTTATTGGTTCACATGATAATACTTGAGCCGAGTCTTTACTACTATTTATAATAAGATTAGTAGTACATACCTGGTCCTTGTCTTCTTGTTCAGTAGTTGTTTTGGTGTGGACGTCCATCATTTCAGGAGCTGTGAGAACTTGATGTATGTTGTCTTGCACTTCCTTCGAGTTAATCTGCGTAGTATCATCTTTTTCCCTTGTTGTGCCGTCAGACATATTCGCATTAGCTGAAGTTTGTGAACTCATGTCATTCTTCTTCGAAGCCATATTTAAAACATGTTTTGAGCTTGTTGTAATCCCAACATAATTATCTTCTCCAACATTATTTCTTCCACCACCAAATTCTTTTCCATGTGATCCATAATTTGTTACCTCCATAGGTTGCATTTGGTTTGAGTCCTCCCTGTTTAGTACATCGTTATCCTTCCAGCTCAAACCCGTAATTTCCTTCCCTTTTGGTTCATTTTGACCCTATGTATGAGCTACTTCAGCACCTTTTTCCAAGTGTTGCTAACTGTTTACAATTCTTTCAACTCTTCTCCCATTAACCACTGGACTTCCATTAGTACTGTTTGTCCCTTGTTGCCTATGCTTTTCCGAGAAAGAAGCATGGTTCTCTGCTTTTAGCCAAATCCCAAACTGATCAGTTTTAACTGTGCCATCCTGTACATCCTTGGCTCTGTGGGCACATGTTTTCTCATTATGTCCTAGCAGACCACAATAATAGCACACGTAAGGCAGATTTTCATAACTTATTTCAACCCACGTAGTTTCTGATCCTAATTTGATCAACTTACCTCTAGGTAGTGGCTTAGTTATATTCATCCTGGCTTTCGGCCTTATATATTGTCCCTCTTTGCTTCCATTTTCAGGGATTACAATATCCACGATACCTCCTAACGCATTTCCGATTTTGCGCCCAACGTCCATTGACATCCAGTGTAAGGGGATGTTCCAAACTTGAACCCATAACTCACATACATTAAAAATTGAAGAAGTACTCTTCAATCCTGGTTCCCAGATCTGTATATTAAGGAGGAATTTATCATACAACCATGGTGTGCCAAATAATACTTTATTCATACCTTCTTTATCTTTGAATTTGAACTGGAAAAAATTCCATCCGATTTCCTTTATTTGCAGTCCTGTTGGATTTCCCCAAGCCACAGGCATAGTGTTCTTGACGCCTTGGAGATCCACTTTCTTATCCGAGACTACCTTACCAAACAGACTTACCTCACAATCATTTGTGCTCGACAGAACATCCGAAATTTCAATTGACACAGTCTCCTTTTCTTCCTCCGTAAGAGTAAATTGATGTAATCTTTCAATAATTTCTTCCGTCATCTCTACAATTGTCTGTTTTACCTTCCAAGAGGGGTTGAATTGATACTCTCTGTAGCCTAATTGCAGCGAAATTTGAAGGTTTTTGATGGTTGAAAGTCGATTTAGGGTTTAAGATGGTACCTAGAAATTCTAAAATTGACGGATAAAAAGGATTCAAGGCAGAGATTGGTAGGCTTTTGAGGTTAGGAATAGTTGTTTGATGGTGATTCAAGGATTGAAACCCCAGTGAGGGGAAGAAAACTCTCATAGGCAGAGAGAGAAAACCCTCAGTCGGTGGACGAGGGAATTTTGGATTTTTCAACTTCTTAGAACTTTAGTTTCATAACACCTTAAGATTGGTAATGAATGCTTTAGGCACCTTGTAATTTTTGTTTATTTAGGATTGAAGATCGTCCTGATACTCTCCTTTTATTTGTAATTGTAAACCTGTAACAAGTTGTGGCAGGTTTGATTTTTTGGAATTATAATACAAGACTGTTACCTTCTCAAAAAAAAAAAAAAAAAAAACACCTTAAGATTGGTAATGAATGGTCAGACACCCAACATCTTCTAAGCCATCAAATTGATCTTCCCTACTTTTATTTTTGTTTCTAGTAACCCTACTAGCCCAATTTTTTCATTATTACAAAATAGTTTCACCTCCTTTTGCTTATTAGGGCCATTGAGCCCTCTCACATTCCAACAAAGACAACTATACATTCCCAATTTTGGGATTAGGACGGCCTCCCACTGTTTCTTCACTGTTACTGGTAGCCTTCTTATTCTTACCCCCTTTGTTCAGTACCTGAAAAGTGTCTTTACTCTCTAGTCTCTACATGTAGCTGTTGGTTAGCTTGAGATAATTGTTTTGAGACACTTTCAAAGTGGTATTCTAATGGAGAAGCAACCATACTAGTGACATGTTCAACTTCAACCCACATGATTAAAGCAGTTTTTCCACTAATAAGGACATGTGAAATCGAATAGTAAGTTTAGATATTATTGAAAATATCGTTTTCATTGTTCGAAAGTTGTTTAACATACGATTGGCTTTTGTTGATCCAAATTTTTATTTTTCTGCTTATCCTCTTCTATCTGTTGTTTTACACGTCTTCTGTTTGAGTTAGTAATACATGCTTTGCTTCCATAGAAGACGAGAAATTGCAAAATGCCTTTATGAAATGTTTGCTAAGTTTCTGTCACCTAATTCAAATTTCACTGGATTAATTTTTTACCCAAGATTATGCATATGTTTGGTCTAACGTTGAAAAGGAAAAACCTCGAATGATACAGGTATTTTTTTTAAGAATACAAAGTTGCGATAAAGACTGAAAATTTTGATGGCATTAATTTCGATATGGATCACCGTTGAGAACTTTTTCTGAGGTATTATTTCCCATTTCCCTGTTTAGAAATGTTTTCTGCAGCTCCTAATTGTGATGCGTCATTTACACATTTTTAAAATTTTATCTTATAACAGGGAAAATTCTATCCGGGTCAATTACAGACTAGCAACTAATTGTTGTGCATTATATAATTGCATATTTCTTGGATGGCAGGTATTGGATTGGTTTCTCATATTGCTTATTGATTATGATCTTATCACGTTTTAATTTCACATCTCAATTGCGAAAAACATCATATGTAGCTTGTGCAATCATGTTTAATTGAAACTTTTTAGATCTTGTAAGCATCAAAGATCCCATGTCTAGAATGAAACTTTTCTTAAAGTAGAATGACTATCTGATGTCACTATAGAAAATCTTTTTAAATGAATCTATGAAGGATACATTGTATTTGCACTATCCTTCAATGTTTGCACATATTTAATTGTGCCGCAACATGATGATGATAACTAAGGTTTGTCAATTGGTTGTTAAATTGAATATAAGGTGAGTTTTTTTTTATTGAAACATATAGATTTCCTTACAAATATTTGTGTAGGCTGGGGATATTCTTGAAAGCATAAGAAGAAAGAATATGCATCAATCATCCATGGGAATGTATACTTACGAGGAGACAATGGTCATCACCACATCTATTTGTTAGGACATAAAAAGAACATGTCTAAGGTATGGAAAGTCTTGCAAGATTCTGTTACATCAATATGAACAGAACTTTTCTTTCAGAACTTCTCCTCCTTACTTTCCTAACTGGCCGTTGATATAACTATTGCAATTTAACAGTCTGTTAAATAGGAAAAGATTTAACTGTTGGTACTTTTCTTTCTTCATTATTGTCATCATTATTTTTTACTCTTGTTCTTCTTTCAAACATGTTCTCGGGTCGAGGGTCTATTGAAAACAACCTATCTGCCCTTTCAAGGGTAGTGATAAGGTCTGCGTACACCTACCCTCCTCATGCCCCACCTATGGGACTATACTGTGTATGTTGTTGTTGTTAGTACTAGCTAGTAGGTTGTATTTTACTTCTTAGAATTGATAGCATAACAAAGAAAGAGTCATCTCTTATTAATTCTTCTAGTTTTAACTGATGGATATAAGCTGTTCAAAATATGATGTTGTCTTACTTACTATGCTTTGTTGCATTTACTGTCCAGATAACTTGACAGTTAATTTTGTGGGATTCTCCTTTGATTGTCTATTAGGTTGATTTGGTCGTTGATCGATTGTTATTTTAGGAGTTTTTCGATCTTGTCTATGTTCTCAAACTTCAGTCAACTAAAATCATGTGTGTGGTTTGTAATTGTAATATGGGGATTGGGTAAGAGTTCTAAAATTTCTTTTTGATTGCTTTCAGTAAGAAGGTTGTGATTTCCAACTCGTACAACCGTCTACTAGTTCCTTGAGATGAAGCATGACTTGCCGTAACACACAGGTACATGAGCTAAAAGTTGTTTAATGTAACACACAAGAGACATATCAGGATTTCTGGAGCAATATGTTAGCCTCGCGAACCTACAACTTGTGGATTTTGATAAATAACAATTAACCAAATACTATGTCTACAGAACCAATGAGAACAGATCACAAATAAGAAAGGAAGCACAAGAGATTGAATTCATCCAAAGGAGAAATTCAAGGACAGTTGATTTACTCTTCTGTAATCAAGCTACGTAATCAAATCAACAAAACCAACTCAGTGGAAGACAACTCAGAGAATCTTCAAGACCAAGATTGATAGGCAAAATCAAATCAGAGAATCTTCAAAACCAAGCTACTGGACAAAGTTTCACAAATCAAGGAATCTGGAAAGGAAGGCAAATCATGTCAAGAAGGAAGAAGATCATGAACATATATGATATGGACGTGATCACAATCTACCCTAAATCAGACTCGGTCAAGGAATTCACTACAAATCCTTGATTGAATGAAATACCCATGGGTTTTTCCTTATAAGAGCAAAGAGCTAGATCATACAAACTAGACTTAGGATTAGAGGAAGTCCACGCACTTCACTCTATTGTATTATCTTTCTTTCATCCTTCATAAAACATTTGTACCTGTGTATGAAACTATGATTTTGGATTTGCCGGATGACTTGTTTATCAAATTAATGCTCCTAAGATTTATGGACCTTTCTTGGACAAAGATAAAACGGTTGCCAGATTCTATTTGTGCATTGTATAACTTGGAGACACTCCTCTTGTCATGTTGTTATTGTCTTGAGGAGCTACCGCTGCAGAAGGTTGATTAAGTTTGTTGAAGTTTGCTTTTAGTTATTGCAGTAACTTTTAGCAATAAGTTATTTAGTTTGAATAAATTTGAATTTTGAATTTTGAATTTTAGTTTGTTTGTTTATGTTGTTGAGATATTTTAGGTTTAAATTTTAAATTATGCAGATTATGTGTTTTATGTTGGCTATTTAAAGCCCCTCAATGCTTAATAAAATTATTGAAATCTATTGAAAGTCATTTCAATCCATTGAGAGGCATTTTCAATCTTTTTGTGCTGCCCATTTTTAAAAAAACACCAACAAACTTGTATCATCTTGATATAACCTACACTTCTCGCTTGAAGATGTCACTACATCTGAGCAAGTTGAAAAACCTCCAAGTGCTAGTGGAGGCCAAGTTTCTTTTAGGTCGTCGCGGTGGTTTGGAAGATTTGTGGAAAGTATAGAACTTGTATGGATCTCTATCAGTTTTAGAGTTGCGAAATGTGGTTGACAAAAGGGAAGCTCTGAAGGAAAACATGAGGGAGAAGAACTATGTTGAGAAGTTATCTTTGGGTGGAGTGAAAGTAGTACTGCCGACAATTCACAAACTGAAAAAGACACAAAAGAACTACAAATCACCGGATATAGAAGGATAAAATTTTCAAATTGGCTAGCTGATCCTTAGTTTCTTACGCTGGTGAAATTGTCTATTAACAACTGCAAGAACTGTGATTCCTTGCCATCACTAGGACAACTCCCTTCTTTGAAATTTCTTTCCATTAGTGAGATGCATCGAATAACAGAGGTCACAGATGAATTCTATGGCAGTTCATCCTCCAAAAAGCCTTTTAACTCTCTTGATCAGAAACTTGAATTTGCAAAGATTCCAGAGTGAAAGCAATGTCACGTACTAGGAAGTGGCGAGTTTCCTATATTTGAGTACCTTTCAATAAAAAATTATCAGAATGGGGAAGTTGCTTGAAAATCTTTGTTCTTTGACAGAATTGAGAGTTCCAAAATGTCCTAAACTCAATTTGGAGACTGAACTGATTATATTCCAATTTCAGGGTATGACACATATTGCAAGAAACTGGTGAATAGACGAGGGGAGTGGCTTTTAGCAAGACTCAGAGAGATAGTGATCCAACATGATAGCAGTGACAAAGAGATGGAACATGATGGCAGTGACAGAGAGATGGAACATGATGGCAGTGACGAAGAGATTGAACATGATGGCAGTGACGAAAAGATCGAACATGATGGCAGTGACGAAGAGATGGAACATTGGGAGTTGCCTTGCTCTATTCAAAGACTTAGCATACGCAATCTAGAAACAACAAGCAGCCAAGATCTAAAAACCTTACCTCTCTTGAATATATGTATTGCTTATTTACCTCAAATTC